AGGATGAGTGACTGCCTCTCACATAAATAGCAGTCAAGGTGTCAAGAGATAAAAGAATGCAAGATGGTTGCTGCATCTCCAGAAGTGATCAAATGCTTTATTTTCATCATCCACCTTATGTGGTGTAACAAGTGGAGGAGCCATGAATGAGAGAGTCTTTTATGGCAATGTTGTTGTTGTTGTTGTTGTTGTCATGCTTATGACTGAGGTGTGACTGAGGTCACATAGCAATAGTAGGAGCACCTGTTCACCTGCATGGCAGCAGTAGGAGTGGGTTGCTGTAGTTTTTGTTTAATGTTGCTCAGTCTGATTGTTATGATGATCTTGTCCTTTTTTTATACTTTGTAATAAGAAGATTATTTTTCTGTGGAACAAAGGTCTGAAACATTCTTTTTATGGACTCAATGAGCTTTTTGAGAGCATGACAGACAATTAGTAAGCAAGGGCCATTTTCAGCCACTCAGCGAATCTTAAGTTTGTTTCCTGAAGTCGTTACAACTATTTCCTACAGCAGAGACACACAATCTGAAGGCAGCACCAATCCTATTCAGATTGCACTAACAGATAACTATACATCAGCTTTTCTGTATCCTCTCAACACGTCCATGTGTTGTGCTGAATACAGCTGTATGTTGACTAGCCTGACCCAACACCAGAGGGCGCTATAGATCACATAAACTCTCTAGACCCAGAACCACACTACCTGTGCTGCGGGAAAGAGGATACATCACTCTGCACTAATGAGATCAGGTTGGTTAAATAGGTAACCAACATGACTTAATTAATGACCAAAAAGTGACCCAGCCCTTCACTATGCAGTCTCATGCGAACTATAGTTTAGTCTAGAAGAAATCTAGAAGAGTGAGAATGTCATTTGTGACAGTGATTGGCACACATGTAAAGTATTTCAGGATACTGGAGATGTATTTTTCTTGTTTAAACAAAACAAAACAAAATGAAAAAATGACTTGAAGACTCACTAGTAGACTAATGACCTGATGATTGCTTTGATATGAATTCATTGTTTCCTGGCGTTCAGTCAGTCTTTCACTGATGGCATTTTCAGAGAAATAGCATCAAAGAGTATGTCACTATTGACAAAGGAGAGTTTATGTGAAGTGTGTCTTGCTCAAGGCCACTTCTGTGATTCGGGGAAGTGATGGCAAGGATTTGAGCGGTCACCCTCACAGGCTACTACCTACCAGCTTCAAAACTTTCAGCTGCTGTTGCCCCACGGTGATATACAGCTGGATCCTGTTTGCCTCCATTCAGTGCGTGAGGGGCTACTGTATCTTTTCAATAGATGTTGCAAATGATATGACTATAACAGATGCAGGTCATGAATCAAAGGTCTAAAACCACCCTGCTAGCTGATGTGTTCCACAGGTGCTACTGTCCGGTCTCCTCTGGATGCACAACGTGGAGCCGCCACACAGAAATATGCACAGAGTCTAACCGCTCGGCTGTTGCAGGCTCCATTCTCTATGTGTCCTTTCTACCCGGTGCAGGTCTACACTCACATGCACCACACCGAATGTTGCTACCTTGAGTGAACTGAGCTTGTGAACACGATGACCCCATCCAATCAACAAAGCCTGAGAGGAAGGACAGAAAAAACATGAGTGAAAGTTGTGCACGGCATAGAAAAGCAGAACTCAGGCACCCGTTTGGTCACAGAGCTTAAATTAGAAAAGCATTGAATAATAAGGATCACACATGTTTCAAATATGATGGATTTTAATTGATAGTAAACTGTGCTTTTTGTACAGACTTTGCACTGGAGTGGTAAAAGGATTTTTTATAGTGGCTAGAAACTCAGTGGAGAAAATTAACCGATGGCTTTTGATGGTGTTTTGAGGACCTTTAGTTTAATAGTTGAACTAGTTTCCTCAGCTGAACTCTTGGCTGCACCTGTAAATATTATAAACATCACTAGTTAGACTCAGTTTAAGCTACATTAGAGTGCCAACTGCGTGCACATACTGTATATACTGTCAATAACAACTGAGAAATCAAAAGTTTCTTCACAAGTTTATTATTTAAAGAAACCCTAAACCTCCCAAACATTTGTCTGACCCCTTGAAATGCTGCAAAGTGGGGCGAGTGAGTCTGGCTGGAGACCTTTGTTGCATCTCTCTCCCTTCCATTTGTTTTCTGGTGTTCCTATTTAACAGCGGCAGAAAAGCTACTCAGATTATTTACTTTAAGTAAAATCGGTAATACCACAGTGTAAAAATACTTTGTTGCTATACAAGTAAAAGTTCTGCTTTATTTTTTTATCACAGTTAATGTTGCAGCTGGTAAAGGCGGAGCTAATCTTAACTATATTATGTGCTCAAAATGTGAAGTACTTTACATGCTGCTGGGTAGCTGGTAAATTTTACACTGAGGATCAATAAAATCATATGATTTTACTATACTTTACTTTATTAACCTCATTCTGAAAAGTAACTAGTAACTAAAGTTAACAAGTAATGTAGTGTGAACAATATTCTCCTCTGAAATGTAGTGAAGTTGAAGTATGAAGTGGTAGAAAATGAAAATACTCAAGTACTGATACCTCAAGATTGTACTAAAGTACAGTACTTGAGTAAATATACTTAGTTACTTTCCACCTCTGTTATTTAATAAAGACATATCCCCAAATACTACTACTACTGATAATAATAATAATAATAATGGCCAGTACAGTGATTTGTGCTGTTGCCTCACAGCAAGAATGTCTTGCCAGGATTTGAGCCCTGGCTGACTCAGGGCCTTTCTGTGCGCAGTCTGCATGTTCTCCCTGTGCCTGCGTGGGTTCTCTCCAGGTACTCCGGCTTCCTCCCACAGTCCAAAGACTTGCAGCTTAGGTCGACTCTGAATTGTCCCCAGGAGTGAATGTGGGTATGTGTGATTGTTCGTTTCTAAGTGTCAGCCCAATGATAGACTGGCGACCTGTCCAAGGTGGACGCCACCTCTCGCCCAATGTCTGCTGTGATTGGCTCCAGCCCCCTGTGACCCTGCTCAGGAATAAGTGGTATAGATAATTGATGAATGGATGGAAGTTCTGCACTACAATAAGTAGTGGATAAGCACAAATAAACACCATAAACATTATTAGACTCACAAATTACCAATTTGGCAACCAGACACAGGGACAGTTTCTTCCCCCAGGCCATCACTCTGATGAACACTTAATCAACGACAGTACGATTGGACAATAACCCTCAGTGCAACACCTGTAAATATACCTCGTACAGATTATACAGATTCATGCAGGTCTCTAGTTTTAAGTACTTATTCCTATTTATCTCATTTCAATGAGCATTCCTTAGTCTGTCTGCATTGTTTACGGTCTGTTTATACTGCTTATTTTGCATCGTTTGCCCTGGTTGTTGCTGTTAATACTGCTTATTATGTTATATTACACAGCCTTATGCTGGTTTACTGTTTACTTGCCCCTCGCATGGGGATATGTACATGCACATTGAGAGCCGATGTACCAGAGTCAAATTCCTCGTTTAGATTCCATCCCCTAGAATAAAGCAGATTCTGATTCTGTTCAGGAGTAGTCTTCTACATATGAGTGTTATTGGGGACAAATAAAAAGTGTGCACTATTTAAAAGAATAAACTGTATCCTTACTGTGAACTGAAAAGTGAAAAAACGACAGGCTAACAAAAGAACTCTCTTGGTAGGTTAGGGCTGTTGACTTAGCTTTGTTTATATTACGTCCTGATATGAATCAACGTGCTGCAGATCTAATATGTGTCAACTCCAGAGCCTCCACAGCTGCTGAAGTGCAGGCCTGAGCTCCCTGGTGGCTCTGCCGTACATGTGCTGATCTCCCACCTCCCTTGTTGCTCTGGATGAGAGAAACAGAATTTCATCCGAGAAGTAGAACACCCTCGTCGAGGCCCACCAAGGCTTGTTCCTAGTAACCCAGAGACATCTGCTGGCACAAAATGAAACACATAACTTTTGTATGAGAGTGGACCTGAGGTTTACAGCTTGGGCTCCTTTCCCAATGAGACTGGATGATGGAGGCAAAGTAAAATGGAGTGAAGTTTTTACGACTCCATAGGGGTCTTTAGAATGGATGTTTTCAGTGAGGGGAGGGGGACTGGGTGGGCTGGGGACACGCTATTCACAGATCTCTTTTATCACGTCTGTCAGAGTCCCCACACAGGTACACAGAGCAGCTACTCTCCCTAAAAATGACCTTCATGATGCATGCTATTAGCAACAAAAAATAAAACATTCAGTCAGTTATTTAATTAAAATATAACTCATCAATCTGATTAAACAAATAGAAACAACGATTAATGAAATGAGAGAACAGGAAAATGTAAAAGCTTTATTTTCTTCACACATATCACAAAATTACACAAAAATGCTGCTTAATTTCAGAGAGGAGTTGAAGTAAAAACAAGACAATAGAAAAGCTTACATGGTAATAAATAGATAAAGGATTGTAAGAAAATGTGGTGGTTATAAAATATATTACAACTTGTCGCACAGTGTGTGCAACACCCTGCACAGGTGCCGTCGGGAATACGGAGTAAATGTGTGAAGCTGAAGTACATTCAGATATTAAAAGTGCCTGTTGGAAACAAGGCTGGCGAATGAAAGAATCAAAAGAACTGACAGTTAAATTATGTACATTAAAATCAAATGATATCTGTTCTGCTCTTCCGTGTCTGCAACCTTCATTTTTGCTGGAGGCAGGAGAGAGCATGAAAAGAGATGGAGTCTAGGGGATTATGGTAACAAGAGGATCATGATGGATGTCTCCTGTGTTCACATACATGGTTTTTCAATCTACAACACCAATGACCGCACCATGAAAGAAGAGCCTCGCTGTGAGCAGAGCAAACACAGACACACTTGTCTATACACAAAATGTCAAATGCCAGGACTCAAACTGTCACAAAGAGAAAGACCTCCATTAAGTGTAGCAAGAAGTAGAAACATTACTGCAGATAATGTTCAGGAGATGACAGCCTGATGACAGCCCCCTACTGGGGGCTCTTAGTGATCACTTTGAGGATGTCACAAGTGTTCTTGGAGATGACCTCCTTCAGCTTCCGTATACGACGAGGGCTGGAAACACCCACGTAGCTCTCCGGCTGAAGGACAGCCATGCCGTCGCTAACGTTGCCCATGATGATGACCTGTCCCTCTGCGGCGGCGCCTGTGATGTTTGGACATGGGCAGTTCCAGTCCATGTTGAGGAAGGTGACTTCCAGAGGTTCCTTGCCAAAGAAGCTGAGACCCATCTTCTCATCCTTCAGGATTTCCTCCACTGTCACAAGGGCATGACCCGAGGCCTGTTCCTCTGTAAGCTCCGTCATGCGACCCAGGATGACGAAGTCGCTCCAGCAGAAGCTCGTCACCATCTTGCCTTTTGGCTTGCAGGCCTTGCAGTGGTGGTTTTTCGGGTAGGGACACATGTCCTCACAGGCTTCTTTAGATTCAAAGTTGTTGTCATTACCCCCACATCCTCCATAGATGAAGGACTGACACTGCCGCAGGGTGCTGCTGTACGCCCAGCGTGGCTCGTAGGATTTACAGGGCCCCTGTAGGCTGGGAAGGCCACAGGGGCCCGACAAGTGCGGACCACAGCACTGCATGCACTCTTTGTATGTCTCAAAGACCTTCCTTGGCTGCTGGCTGTTGCTGTTGCAGTGGGTGAAGGAGAAGCAGTTGTTGGTCTTTGGCTCGTAGTACCAGCTGACTTTCTCCAGCTCACTCCCACAATCCTCTGGGCTATCAGGTGGTTTTGCACATTCCTCAGGCAGGCAGTGGGTCATGTTCTTGAGCGGCTCTGTGGGCAGCACAGCGAGCAGGTGGTTGGCCTGCACTGAGCCAGAGGGATTCTGGGCTGTACAGGTGTAGACTCCTGAGTCATGTGGCCGGGCGTTGTAGATGACCAGCTGACCAATGTTAGTGACCACCATATTCCCTCGCACATGATTGGGCTTCATGACCACTCTAATTACACTCTCTGGCAGCCGCTTCTCCCAGGTGATCTCAGGCCGAGGGCGACCTGCCACATCACACAAGAAGCTGGCCGTGTCCCCCTCATTTACAGTCTGGTGAGTGGGGCTGCCGACCATGACAGGCGGCTGAGGCTCGGTGGGAAGTGGGATAGTTGTGTGAAAGGGAGGAGTGGTAGGGTGAAAAGTGGTTGCCTGTGGCAATGAGGGGCTGGTGTTGGGCCAGGTGAGGTGGAAGCGGCAGGTAACAACAGAGAGGACGATGCCCTTGGAGCACGCTTCTGCATCCATGTAACACTTGTTGTAGTAGGTCATGCCGTCGGAGGCGCAGGTGAAGTGGGGCTCTTTCTCGCAGCGGTCTTGGCATTTACACACTGGCTGGCCGTCCCAGATGTCACACTCAGAGCCCTGCTGCGTGCACATAAAACTGGCACAGGTGGCTTCTTTAGGTATTCCTGCAGGGCCTTTCTTCCCATCCATGTAACGGGCTGCCACACAACTCCGATTACCACACACGTTTTGACAGCACTTCTCAAAGGACTCGCACTCCTGTAGGAAGAGAAGAGAGAAATTGCAGATGCCGGATGCTGTGTGGATGTGGAGCCAGCAATCATGAGGCAGAATTTAATCCAGAGATAGAATGAAAATAAACATTGAAATCAGTGGTGGAGGAAGTACTTGGATTCTTAAATAAAAGTAACACGTACCAAAAGTAAAAGTACTCACTAAATAACATAGCAGATCACACATGAATATATATTTGTTGGGTTTTGCCTCTATAATATCAATAACAGTAAGGTCTAGACTTTATTTTGTGAAGTGTCCTGAGATGACCTTTGTTGTGATTTGGTGCTATACACATACAACTGAATTCAATTGAATTTTACTGAATTTTAATTATTGATGCATCATTTTGCACAGCTGGTAATGATGGAGCTAGCTTTAACTAGGTTGTATGCTTAGAATTTCAATGACTTTACATTGTGCTGGGTCGCTTGTGAAATTTCCACCAGGAATCAACCAAGTTTAATGGTTATACTGTATGTTGTATTATTAATTTGATTATGAAAAGGTAACAGTAGCTAAAGTTATCATTTGACTCTGGAATTTAGTAAAATCCAAGTATGACATGGTAAAAAAAATGAAAGTACTCGTTAAGTACAGCTACCTCAAACTTATACAGGACTTAAGTGCAGTACTTGAGTAAATGTTACTTTCCACCACTGATTAAATGTGAATTCTTGGCCAACATGTGACATAAACCGCATGTAAAATACATCAACGATCCGTATAGAAGTTGATAAAAGGTGACGTTACTAATGCCTTTACCTGATCAGATTCACACTCTCGTGCACAGGTGCTCATGGCATCCACCCACAGGTTGGGGTTCATGTCATTGGGGCAGATACCCGCGTGTGAGTAGATGATACGGGGCAGAACTCCGACCTGAAGCTGCATCAACACTGACAAACACGCCAGGAGCCAGACCCACCGTGGAAGCAGCATCCACCGCATCTCCAGCGCGGAACACAACTCAGCAACAAGTGGAGAAGATAAAAAAAGAAAGAAGGAAGGAAAGAACGAAAAAGGTGGGAGATTTCTGTGATCCGGCAGGAAACGGACCCAACTTCCCTAAATATTAAAGAAGGCGAAATGAAAAAAAAAATCAAGCGCGCATCACAGCTGTGCGTCTGCAGGTTGGCTCGGTGTGTGTTCCTTGATAAACGTTCAATTTGTTATCCCACTTCTGCGCAGATGATGCTCTATTTATACCACCCTTCCGCGGCCACCGCCGTTAACATATCTCGCCAGGTTTACGCGCAACATGACCGTTAGGAGTCGTCCTGAGATGCTGGAAGAAGCTTTTTAAAACGTCAGTGGTTAAGCTGTGGGCTGCGACTGGCAGGACACCTGCCGGTTAAAAGGATTGCTGGTAACCCCATTTAACCCTTTGGGAGCTCCCGCGGTGCCAGAGCGCACTCCTCCTCTACAAGAGCCGGCATGTACTTCTTATATAACAGGTTCCATTTCTCTGTTATCATAGGGTTAGGTGGGGACGGTTGCAACACCTAATGCACTCTGCTCCGTTACTCAGAGACTATGCACAGACCTACATGATTTCAATATGTTAAACGTATATCTGACAGCTTCTTGGACATGCCATTAAAATATGTGTAATTGTGATAATAAATTCAGAATTTGCGTTTGAAGGCAAGAAATCAAATGTTGAAACTGACCCCATACCAATACTTAAGTAAAAGTAACAATGTCCTGCATATAAAAGTTAGTTAAACAAAAGCACAAAGTATTAGCTTCAAAACATACTTAGAAGTACACATTATGCAGAATGGCACAATTGAAATTCCTGTATATCATATTATTGAATTATAATTGGTGAAGGATTATTGTGTACATTACATTTAATCCTGCAGCTGCTAAAGGGGGAGCTACTATAGTTTTAGCAGGCTTATATGCTTATAATTTGAATTACTGGGTAGCTTGTAAAGTCTTATGATTTACTGTAATTTTTGTATTAATCTGATTGTGATGAGTAACCAGTAACTGAAGCTATAAAAGAAATGTAGTGGAGTAAAAAAGTACAATATTTTCCTCTAAAATGCAGAGAAGTCAAAGTATGAAGTAGCACAAAATGAAAATACTCAAGTAAAATACAGATACCTCACAATTGTACTGTACTTGAGTAAATGTACTTAGTTACTTTCCACCACTGTGTGGAGACAGTTGCAGCAATCTCCAGGGATGGTTGCACCATTCATTAAAATACATTAAAATGGCACTAACTAACTGTATCTGTAAAGATCACAGTTAATTTGTTTTGTTTGTGACTCTCCTGGGGGGGCAGCAGGTTACCTTGCTCTCAGTTCCTGGTTGATGCCTAGCTTCTGTCTTAAAAGAAAGTAAAAATAAAATTGGTAGGCTTACAGGGTGGTCTGGAAAATAACTAAATCCTTTGCCACTGATTTGACTGCTTTAACTGTTTTGCCATAATCTCTGATCAAATCTGATGCCATTGTCAGAACATGTAGGCTAGTGGGATATTCCTATCAGTGAGCTGTTCCCTCACTGGCATGCTGAACTGATATAAATGACTAGACAGCATGAAAATGTCTTTATCCACTGGATTAATCAGGGTGCAGTGTTCTTTTAGTTGTTA